TTTTACAAAAAGTAAGATGCGAGAAGAAAGCGTATAGTATGAGTTTTGATTTAAAATTTGATATGGGCACCAGATTTCGCTATCAGCTTCTCGAGCCGCCAATGAATCGTGTCAGCTGATTTCACCACGAACTCTTGTGATGTGGAGGCCTTAACCTCTTCCATTTGCCCAAGTTCTTCCAACGTCTTGGTTTGAGATCGTAGACATGCTCCTTTAATCAACCCCAAACAAAAAAAGTCACAAGGTGTTAAGTCATGTCTCTTTGCTAGCCGCTCATACATATAATAGGGAGTCATTTGTACTAATGATAATAAGAACACCTATAATAACCGTGAAAATGTCACGGTTTTTCTGTTTTCATTTTATGAATTATTATTATTAAAGTAATGCATGAAACACTCTGAAACATTTGAGATTAACAACTTTAACAAAATACTGTAATAAAAATAAGAATGCAGATCATTATCTAAGGAAGTAAGAGGGTACAAATTGAATTTTTTAAATTGACAAGGTTTTCCATTTCATTGAAGCAGACATTTTGTGAACGGGAATGTTATTACATTTTCTTTTTTTTTTATCTTTCTTATTTCTTTCTCACTGAAATAAACGGCGTCGCTGTTATGTCTTTTCCGTCGTTCATCGCGATCAAATCGGTACAGTCTATTATTTATCAGACATTGGAAGGGCGTTAATTTATTTATTTCTCACGTAAATCAAATGGCGTTTCTTATATGTCTTTTTGAATCTCCTGGCAATCAAATCAGAATAGTCCATTATTCATGAGGTATTGGGAGGGTGTATATTTCTTTCTTTCTCACGGAAATCAAACGCGTTTCTTATATGTCTTTTCTGTATTTCCTTCCAATCAAATCGGGATAGTCTATTATTCATGAGGTATTGGAAGGGTATTTCTTTCTTTCTTTCTCATGGAAATCAACGCGTTTCTTATATGTTTTTCTGTCTTTCCCTTCCAATCAAATCGGAATAGTCCATTATTCATGAGGTATTGGAAGGGTGTGTATTTCTTTCTTTCTCACGGAAATCAAACGCGTTTCTTATATGTCTTTTCTGTATTTCCTTCCAATCAAATCGGAATAGTCTAATATTCATAAGATATTGGAAGGGTGTATATTTCTTTCTTTCTCACGGAAATCAAACGCGTTTCTTATATGTCTTTTCTGTATTTCCTTCCAATCAAATCAGAATAGTCCATTATTCATGAGATATTGGAAGGGTGTATATTTCTTTCTTTCTCACGGAAATCAAACGCGTTTCTTATATGTCTTTTCTGTATTTCCTTCCAATCAAATCGGAATAGTCCATTATTCATGAAGTATTGGAAGGGTATTTATTTATTTCTTTCTCACGGAAATCAAACGCGTTTCTTATATGTCTTTTCTGTCTTTCCCTTCCAATCAAATCAGAATAGTCCATTATTCATGGGGCATTGGCAGGTTGTACATCATGTGATAACCAGAATTATGGTGTTTTAAACTCATTTCTACCAATGTCTCAGCATACGCTGGCATAAATGACATTAGCAAGCATTAACCGAAGCATTTGGAAGATACTAGTCATGTATTCATCTGCGCAGTAATCCTACGACCATAGCCGGTCATAAGACTGATGATGACGATGATGATTATTATGATGATGATGATGATTACACTCATTTAAAACAACGAAGCTAAATGTATGGTTTTCTTCGGCTTTTTATTACATTTTAACAAGATAACTACGGTTCACACGCTGACCTTTGAGATCTTCCATTTCCATTTATAAAGTTAGCTCCTGGGAAGTAATAAAAATATAAAGCGATCAATTCAAATATAGGTATATATTTTTTTTTTCGAAATGCCATATATCTTCTGGAAAGAAGCGACCATGATTCTTTAAAGAAACCATTTCTTTATCATCTGTGAATTCCCATGAGATCTTAGGAAATGTAGTGTTTTTTCTCCGTTGCCTTTTCCGTGTTTTTGAATTCGGAGTAGCAGTACTTCTAGACTTGCTATAAGAAATTGGAGAACCGGTTTCGAATTCTAGCCGAGTGGTTACATTCACATAAGGGCGCATACTGTTAGAAAAGGTATAAATCTATCACTTCTTTCCGGGCTATGGGTTAAACATTAGTACGTGTATATAAAAAGTCATTATTTCCTAAAAAGATTTAATGCAATATTTACACGCCAACAATGTACAATCCAAAATATGTTTCGTATTTAAATAACTTACAAAAGGTTGACAAACCGTGAACAACACAATTATAGACTGACTTCATTGCTATGTGAAGGAAAATGTTAATACAGTTAGGATTTTAATCCGACATATGTTCAGGATTTCAAAGACCCATAAAGGGTTGATAAACCGTAAAGAACAAATTATTTAATCAATAAATGGCAAACATGGACAATCGTGCCCGCATTAAGACAGAGTATCAAAAGGACGGTTTTTCCCATGACACCGCTTTTATTTTACCTATCTTCACTCCCCAGTAAGGTTTTCTTTTTTTAAAAGGTGATGATTAGAATTGTAATAAAGTCTAAACCTCTGAACGTGAATACGAAACAGTGAAACAACTCTCCTAGCATAAGACATAATAACTGTTTCTATTATAAAGCGCAAATAAGGATCTAGGAGGTTAGCATCAGCCATACTGATACAAAACAAAAAAAGATATACTTATATTAACCGAGCACCTGACAGTCGCCATGTTTATTTACATCCTTGAAAAGTAGTATTTTCCGTATATTTTCACAGTAAATCTTCATTTATACATATTTGATTGAAGCAAGGTTTTCATTTTTTTTAAATATTTCCTGACATTTTTAGTAATTTTCTCGGATCTTAAGGAAATGGTTACCAAAATATCCAATAAAATACCGGTAGCTCATCAGTAAAACTTATTTATATGTGAATAGAAAACAATATTAAATGAAAATTTCAACCAAGCAATGCTTTGGTTTGTTTTGGCTTACGGCACATCAACAGCTCAATGGGTTATTTAATGCCGACAAGATATTGCTGGTATTATTTTCTCCAAAAATGTATTGCTGGTAATATATTATTTTTTAAATGTGTTGCTGGTATTTTTATTTTCAAAAATGTTTCGCTGGTAATATTATTTTACAAAAATCTACTGCTGGTAATAATTTTAACAAAAAAATGTTGGTATTAAAAACTATTTTTATACTTTCATAGTATTTTGATCCCTTTGCGGGGACAAGAAGACCATATTGCAATAAAAGCTAGTACATTAGTTATTTATTCAGCTTGCTGGAATATTAACAAATTATATTGATAATAGTTTTGAACTTGTTGGAATATAAAATAATACCATTAATACAAGTTACTATCAATAATTTCATTAAAAGTATAAAATATATTTTGAAAATTTTCTAAAGTCATTTAATTTATAATTTTTGAATGTTAAAATTAGTTACAATTTCAAGCAAGAGAAATAAGGCGTAAGAAATACTAGTCAAAATGAATAATAATTACCAATGCTTCATCTAAGAAATTCAGACAACTTAAGAATATTACTACTTGGTGGAAAAGCAAGAGAAATAAGATGAAAGAAATACTAGTGAAAAATGAATAATAATTCACAAGGCTTCATCTAAGAAATTCAGACAACTTAAGACTATTACTACTTGGTTTTTATACCAAGGGAGATAAGATGAAAGAAATACTAGTGAAAACTTAATAATAATTAATTGATAATTCTCCTGCTAAGAGATACAAACAACTTAATATTATTACTAGTTGATGTAAAAACAGGTAAAATATGATGAAAGAAAGACGAGTGAAAAATTAATACTTATTGACAATGTTTTCTCAACGAAATTAATAAAAGTTGAGAGTATTACTATTTGGTGTAAAAGCAAGAAAAACAAGATGCGAAAATGCAGTCCAAAATTAATAATAACTAATTTCGATTTATTTAGGAAATTCTAAATTTGAGCAATCTGTTATTAAATCTGTGAGAATGATGCTTTCTCTACAAAACCGAATTTGTAAACACAGTTTGACAAGCGAATGTTTTTCAGACTGAAATTCTTTGTTGAGTATGAGTGCACGAACGAAAAAAATTTCGTCGTGGGAAAAATTCTTGAGGGAACGATGTACAAGTGGAGTGAGAGTGACATTTTGGGAATAGATTTCAAATAAAGAGCGGGGGGATATGTTGAGGTATGCGTTCCATATCCGACTAGGGGTTACAGTTGTCTGTTTTCGAGAGAGCAGTAAGGGGTGTAAACAAGCGGAAGGAAGAGAACACGAGACAAAATGTAAACTCAGGAGAATGAAAAAAAAAAGAGGAGAGAGAAAAGGAAGTATAAGGAAAAGAAAAGAATTAAAGAAAGAAGAAAATGAAAAGAGGGCGAAATCAAAGGAATGAGAATAATGAAAGGAGGGTGAATTTGCAGAATGAAAAATAGGAAAAAAATATAGGGAATGATAGACCGAACGAAAGAAAGAGTAAAGAAAAGAAATAGATTGAATATGGAATCAATGGAACGAAAAAGAGAAGAACAGAAAGAGAGAGAGAGAGAGAGTAGGAAACCGAGTGAAAAAGAACCGGAAAAAGAAAAATAGATAGAGTAAGAAGTCAAAGGATAGACAAAGAGAAGAACGAAAAGCAATAGAAGAGGAATTCAAAAGAAAACAATGTGAAGGATAGAAAGAGAATATAATATATATAAGAAGAGATATAGAGAGAATATGAAACCAAAGAAAGTAAGGGAGAAGAAGAAATATAGATAAAATACAAAAAGAAGCAAAAGAAAATGGGAATAGAGAAATAGAGAGAATAAAGAAATTAGGGAAAAAACAGAAGAAATAAAGATAGAATAGGGAAATGAGTTAAAAGAAACTGAAAAAGACGTGAAGATGAAATGAATAGAGAAAGTGCGATAACGAGTAGATGTGAAAAAGAAGATAAAGTTGAATGGGAGAATAAAAAAGAGAGGAAGATATGTTGAGGGAAAGAAAAAGAGAAATCAAGAGAGAGTGAATTGAAGGCTAAGGAACAGAGAAATAGAATATGAAGAGATAGGAAAGAAAAGGAGAAATCCAAAGAAGGAGAATGGAAGGCTAAGAAGAAGAGAAATATGTAGAATATGAAAAGATAAGAAGAAAAAGAGAAATCCAAAGAATGAGAATTGAAGGCTAAGAAGAAGAGAAATATGTAGAATATGAAAAGATAAGAAGAAAAAGAGAAATCCAAAGAATGAGAATTGAAGGCTAAGAAGAAGAGAAATATGTAGAATATGAAAAGATAAGAAGAAAAAGAGAAATCCAAAGAATGAGAATTGAAGGCTAAGAAATATGTAGAATATGAAGAGATAAGAAGAAAATGAGAAATCAAAAGAATGCGAATTGAAGGCTAAGAAAAAGAGAAATAGATAGAATATGAAGAGATAAGAAGAAAAAGAGAAATCAAAAGAATGAGAATTGAAGGCAAAGAAAAAGAGAAATAGATAGAATATGAAGAGATAAGAAGAAAAAGAGAACTCGAAAGAATGAGAATTGAAGGCTAAGAAAAAGAGAAATAGATAGAATATGAAGAGATAACAAGAAAAAGAGAAATCGAAAGAATCAGAATTGAAGGCTAAGAAAAAGAGAAATAGATAGAATATGATGAGATAAGAAGAAAGAGAGAACTCGAAAGAATGAGAATTGAAGGCTAAGAAAAAGAGAAATAGATAGAATATGAAGAGATAAGAAGAAAAAGAGAAATTGAAAGAATGAGAATTGAAGGCTAAGAAAAAGAGAAATAGAATATGATGAGATAAGAAGAAAAAGAGAACTCGAAAGAATGAGAATTGAAGGCTAAGAAAAAGAGAAATAGATAGAATATGAAGAGATAAGAAGAAAAAGAGAAATTGAAAGAATGAGAATTGAAGGCTAAGAAAAAGAGAAATAGATAGAATATGATGAGATAAGAAGAAAAAGAGAACTCGAAAGAATGAGAATTGAAGGCTTAGAAAAAGAGAAATAGAATATGATGAGATAAGAAGAAAAAGAGAACTCGAAAGAATGAGAATTGAAGGCTAAGAAAAGGAGAAATAGATAGAATATGAAGAGATAAGAAGAAAAAAGAAACTGAAAGAATGAGAATTGAAGGCTAAGAAAAGAGAAATAGAATATGATGAGATAAGAAGAAAAAAAGAACTCAGAAAGAATGAGAATTGAAGGCTAAGAAAAAGAGAAATAGATAGAATATGAAGAGATAACAAGAAAAAGAGAAATCGAAAGAATGAGAATTGAAGGCTAAGAAAAAGAGAAATAGATAGAATATGAAGAGACAAGAAGAAAAAGAGAAATCGAAAGAATAAGATTTCAAGGCTAAGAAAAAGAGAAATAGAATATGAGAAGATAAGAAGACAAAAAGGAATGGAAACAATGCGATTTGAAAGCTATGAAAAAGAGAAATTGGTAGAATATGATGAGATAAGAAGAGAAACCAAAACAATGCGTATTGAAGGCTAAGAAAAAGAGAAATATGTAGAATATGAAGAGATTAGAAGATAAAGAGGAATTGAAAGAATGCGAATTGAAGGCTAAGAAAGAGAGAAATATGTAGAATATGATCAGATAAGAAGAAAGAAAATATCGAAAGAATGATATTTAAAAGCTAAGAAAAAGAGAAATAGGTAGAATATGATAAGAAGACAAAGAGGAATTGAAAGAATGAGATTTGAAAGCCAAGAAAAAGAGAAATATGTTGAATACGATGAGATAAGAAGAAAAAAAGAAATCGAAAGAATGCTAATTGAAGGCTACAAAAAGAGAAATAGGTAGAATATGATGAGATAAGAAGAGAAATCGAAAGAATGATAATTGAAGGCTAAGAAAAAGAGAAATAGAATATGATGAGATGAGTAGAAAAAGAGAAATCGAATGAATACGAATTGAAGGCTAAGGAAAAGAGAAATGGGTAGAATATGAAGAGATAAGACGATAAAGAGAAATTGAAAGAATGCAAATTGAAGGCTAATTAAAAGAGAAATCGGTAGAATATGAAGAGATAAGAAGATAAAAAGGAAGTGAAAGAATATGAATTGAAGTCTAAGAAAAAGAGAATCAGGTAGAATATGATGAGATAAGAAGAGAAATCGAAAGAATTCGAATTGAAGGCTAAGAAAAAGAGAAATGGGTAGAATATGAAGAGATAAGACGATAAAGAGGAATAGAAAGAATGCAAATTGAAGGCTAAGATAAAGAGAAATAGGTAGAATATGAAGAGATAAGTAGATAAAAAGGAAGTGAAAGAATATGAATTGAAGGCTAAGAAAAAGAGAATCGGGTAGAATATGATGAGATAAGAAGAGAAATCGAAAGAATGCGAATTGAAGGCTATGAAAAAGAGAAATAGGTAGAATATGATGAGATGAGAAGAAAAATCGAAAGAATGATATTTGAAGGCTAAGAAAAAGAGAAATATGTAGAATATGAAGAGATAAGAAGATAAAGAGAAATTGAAAGAATACGAATTGAAGGCTAAGAAAAAGTGAAATATGTAGAAAATGAAGAGATAAGAAGAAAGAGAGAAATCGAGAGAATGCGAATTGAAGGCCACCAAACAGAGATATAGATAGACTATGATGAGATTGTAAAGCCAAGAATATAGTTAAGAAAATCGAAAAGTAACTTCATTCAGAGAGATGTCTGTTACACGATATGTAAACACGGACCCACAGGCTGCTTAACGCATTAAGACATTTGAAGTAAAGTTTACTTGTCACCTTACTAATTTCATCATGGTAACATGCATAGCCTACTGTATTAATATTTTATACAAGTTGACGTTGATTTGCTAAATAATACGGTACGTACTGTTATAGATTGATTATTGCTATACGATACATATAGAAATATATTAAGTTTAATGTCTGTGGTCTGGCCATAATTTGTTTTGACAAACGTTGTCTTATACTTTAGCCTAACTGCATTTATCCCTAGGCCTAGATTTTGGACTACAGGTACCCTATCAAATACCTGGTTTTGTTTTCTTACTTGGGGTGAAATGATTAAATCTATCTATCTATCTATCTATCTATCTATCTATCTATCTATCTATCTGAAATTAGGTATTATGTAAACTATTTATATTGTTCGGACTATAATGCCCGGTTAAGACGGTGGGGAACTTGGAGAAGGGAATTAACAGGAGATAACTGATAACTGACATCTATTAGACCTGACACGTGGAACTAGAACTACCCCAGCGAGAGAAATAAAGGGTTCAGTTCAACATTCCAACACCTGACGATGGCCGAAACGTACAACGGCCGAAACGTTGTGATAAACATGGCCGTAAAAATGAGGATGATAGCCCGAACAATGTAAATAATCTATCTATCTATCTATCTATCTATCTATCTATCTATCTATCTATCTATCTACAAACCATCATGTAAATGCAATGTCAATCGTTATCTTCTGTCTTCTTAATTCTTGTTCATTTATTGTCCTCTCTACTTAACAATAGTTTTTTCTCATATTCTTTAACACACAGAAACTCCTTGCGTCCTTGTGTTTTTTTTTTTTTTACTTGGGGTGGAATGATTAAATCTATCTATCTATCTATCTATCTATCTATCTATCTATCTACAAACCATCATGTAAATGCAATGTCAATCGTTATCTTCTGTCTTCTTAATTCTTGTTCATTTATTGTCCTCTCTACTTAACAATAGTTTTTTTCTCATATTCTCTAACACACAGAAACTCCTTGCGTCCTTGTGTTTTTTTTTTTTTGTCCTACTTGGGGTGGAATGATTAAATCTATCTATCTATCTATCTATCTATCTATCTACAAACCATCATGTAAATGCAATGTCAATCGTTATCTTCTGTCTTCTTAATTCTTGTTCATTTATTGTCCTCTCTATTAACAATAGTTTTTTTCTCATATTCTCTAACACACAGAAACTCCTTGCGTCCTTGTGTTTTTTTTTTTGTCCTACTTGGGGTGGAATGATTAAATCTATCTATCTATCTATCTATCTATCTATCTATCTACAAACCATCATGTAAATGCAATGTCAATCGTTATCTTCTGTCTTCTTAATTCTTGTTCATTTATTGTCCTCTCTACTTAACAATAGTTTTTTCTCATATTCTCTAACACACAGAAACTCCTTGCGTCCTTGTGTTTTTTTTTTTTTTTGTCCTACTTGGGGTGGAATGATTAAATCTATCTATCTATCTATCTATCTATCTATCTACAAACCATCATGTAAAATGCAATGTCAATCGTTATCTTCTGTCTTCTTAATTCTTGTTCATTTATTGTCCTCTCTACTTAACAATAGTTTTTTTCATATTCTCTAACACACAGAAACTCCTTGCGTCCTTGTGTTTTTTTTTTTTTTCCCACTTGGGGTGGAATGATTAAATCTATCTATCTATCTATCTATCTATCTATCTACAAACCATCATGTAAATGCAATGTCAATCGTTATCTTCTGTCTTCTTAATTCTTGTTCATTTATTGTCCTCTACTTAACAATAGTTTTTTCTCATATTCTCTAACACACAGAAACTCCTTGCGTCCTTGTGTTTTTTTTTTTTTTTTGTCCCATTTGGGGTGGAATGATTAAATCTATCTATCTATCTATCTATCTATCTATCTATCTATCTATCTACAAACCATCATGTAAATGCAATGCCAATCGTTATCTTCTGTCTTCTTAATTCTTGTTCATTTATTGTCCTCTCTACTTAACAATAGTTTTTTTCATATTCTCTAACACACAGAAACTCCTTGCGTCCTTGTTTTTTTTTTTTTTTTGTCCCACTTGGGGTGGAATGATTAAATCTATCTATCTATCTATCTATCTATCTATCTACAAACCATCATGTAAATGCAATGTCAATCGTTATCTTCTGTCTTCTTAATTCTTGTTCATTTATTGTCCTCTCTACTTAACAATAGTTTTTTCTCATATTCTCTAACACACAGAAACTCCTTGCGTCCTTGTGTTTTTTTTTTTGTCCCACTTGGGGTGGAATGATTAAATCTATCTATCTATCTATCTATCTATCTATCTATCTATCTACAAACCATCATGTAAAATGCAATGTCAATCGTTATCTTCTGTCTTCTTAATTCTTGTTCATTTATTGTCCTCTCTACTTAACAATAGTTTTTTCTCATATTCTCTAACACACAGAAACTCCTTGCGTCCTTGTGTTTTTTTTTTTTTTTGTCCTACTTGGGTGGAATGATTAAATCTATCTATCTATCTATCTATCTATCTATCTACAAACCATCATGTAAATGCAATGTCAATCGTTATCTTCTGTCTTCTTAATTCTTGTTCATTTATTGTCCTCTCTACTTAACAATAGTTTTTTTCATATTCTCTAACACACAGAAACTCCTTTGCGTCCTTGTGTTTTTTTTTTTTTTGTCCTACTTGGGGTGGAATGATTAAATCTATCTATCTATCTATCTATCTATCTATCTACAAACCATCATGTAAATGCAATGTCAATCGTTATCTTCTGTCTTCTTAATTCTTGTTCATTTATTGTCCTCTCTACTTAACAATAGTTTTTTTCTCATATTCTCTAACACACAGAAACTCCTTGCGTCCTTGTGTTTTTTTTTTTTTGTCCTACTTGGGGTGGAATGATTAAATCTATCTATCTATCTATCTATCTATCTATCTACAAACCATCATGTAAATGCAATGTCAATCGTTATCTTCTGTTTTCTTAATTCTTGTTCATTTATTGTCCTCTCTACTTAACAATAGTTTTTTCTCATATTCTCTAACACACAGAAACTCCTTGCGTCCTTGTGTTTTTTTTTTTTTGTCCTACTTGGGTGGAATGATTAAATCTATATCTATCTATCTATCTATCTATCTATCTATCTATCTATCTACAAACCATCATGTAAATGCAATGTCAATCGTTATCTTCTGTTTTCTTAATTCTTGTTCATTTATTGTCCTCTCTACTTAACAATAGTTTTTCTCATATTCTCTAACACACAGAAACTCCTTGCGTCCTTGTGTTTTTTTTTTTGTCCCACTTGGGTGGAATGATTAAAATCTATCTATCTATCTATCTATCTATCTATCTATCTATCACAAACCATCATGTAAATGCAATGTCAATCGTTATCTTCTGTCTTCTTAATTCTTGTTCATTTATTGTCCTCTCTACTTAACAATAGTTTTTTTTTTTTTTTTTTTTTCTCATATTCTCTAACACACAGAAACTCCTTGCGTCCTTGTGTTTTTTTTTTTTTTGTCCTACTTGGGGTGGAATGATTAAATCTATCTATCTATCTATCTATCTATCTATCTATCTACAAACCATCATGTAAATGCAATGTCAATCGTTATCTTCTGTCTTCTTAATTCTTGTTCATTTATTGTCCTCTCTACTTAACAATAGTTTTTTCTCATATTCTCTAACACACAGAAACTCCTTGCGTCCTTGTGTTTTTTTTTTTTTTGTCCTACTTGGGGTGGAATGATTAAATCTATCTATCTATCTATCTATCTATCTATCTATCTATCTATCTACAAACCATCATGTAAATGCAATGTCAATCGTTATCTTCTGTCTTCTTAATTCTTGTTCATTTATTGTCCTCTCTACTTAACAATAGTTTTTTCTCATATTCTCTAACACACAGAAACTCTTTGTCCTTGTGTTTTTTTTTTTCCTACTTGGTGTGGAATGATTAAATCTATCTATCTATCTATCTATCTATCTATCTATCTATCTATCTATCTATCTACAAACCATCATGTAAATGCAATGTCAATCGTTATCTTCTGTCTTCTTAATTCTTGTTCATTTATTGTCCTCTCTATTTAACAATAGTTTTTTCTCATATTCTCTAACACACAGAAACTCCTTGCGTCCTTGTGTTTTTTTTTTTTGTCCTACTTGGGGTGGAATGATTAAATCTATCTATCTATCTATCTATCTATCTATCTATCTACAAACCATCATGTAAATGCAATGTCAATAATTATCTTCTGTCTTCTTAATTCTTGTTCATTTATTGTCCTCTCTACTTAACAATAGTTTTTTCTCATATTCTCTAACACACAGAAACTCCTTGCGTCCTTGTGTTTTTTTTTTTTTCCTACTTGGGTGGAATGATTAAATCTATCTATCTATCTATCTATCTATATCTATCTATCTATCTATCTATCTATCTACAAACCATCATGTAAATGCAATGTCAATCGTTATCTTCTGTCTTCTTAATTCTTGTTCATTTATTGTCCTCTCTACTAACAATAGTTTTTTTCTCATATTCTCTAACACACAGAAACTCCTTGCGTCCTTGTGTTTTTTTTTTTTTGTCCCTACTTGGGGTGGAATGATTAAATCTATCTATCTATCTATCTATCTATCTATCTATCTATCTACAAACCATCATGTAAATGCAATGTCAATCGTTATCTTCTGTCTTTTTTAATTCTTGTTCATTTATTGTCCTCTCTACTTAACAATAGTTTTTTCTCATATTCTCTAACACACAGAAACTCCTTGCGTCCTTGTGTTTTTTTTTTTTGTCCTACTTGGGGTGGAATGATTAAATCTATCTATCTATCTATCTATCTATCTACAAACCATCATGTAAATGCAATGTCAATCGTTATCTTCTGTCTTCTTAATTCTTGTTCATTTATTGTCCTCTCTTAACAATAGTTTTTTCTCATATTCTCTAACACACAGAAACTCCTTGCGTCCTTGTGTTTTTTTTTTTTTGTCCTTTTTTTGGGGGAATGATTAAATCTATCTATCTATCTATCTATCTATCTATCTACAAACCATCATGTAAATGCAATGTCAATCGTTATCTTCTGTCTTCTTAATTTTGTTTTATTTATTGTCCTCTCTACTTAACAAAATTTTTTTTTCATATTCTCTAACACACAGAAACTCCTTGCGTCCTTGTGTTTTTTTTTTTTTGTCCTACTTGGGGTGGAATGATTAAATCTATCTATCTATCTATCTATCTATCTATCTATCTATCTATCTACAAACCATCATGTAAATGCAATGTCAATCGTTATCTTCTGTCTTCTTAATTCTTGTTCATTTATTGTCCTCTCTACTTAACAATAGTTTTTTTCTCATATTCTCTAACACACAGAAACTCCTTGCGTCCTTGTGTTTTTTTTTTTTTTGTCCTACTTGGGGTGGAATGATTAAATCTATCTATCTATCTATCTATCTATCTATCTACAAACCATCATGTAAATGCAATGTCAATCGTTATCTTCTGTCTTCTTAATTCTTGTTCATTTATTGTCCTCTCTACTTAACAATAGTTTTTTCTCATATTCTCTAACACACAGAAACTCCTTGCGTCCTTGTGTTTTTTTTTTTTTTCCTACTTGGGTGGAATGTTTAAATCTATCTATCTATCTATCTATCTATCTATCTATCTATCTATCTATCTATCTACAAACCATCATGTAAATGCAATGTCAATCGTTATCTTCTGTTTTCTTAATTCTTGTTCATTTATTGTCCTCTCTACTTAACAATAGTTTTTTCTCATATTCTCTAACACACAGAAACTCCTTGCGTCCTTGTGTTTTTTTTTTTTGTCCTACTTGGGGTGGAATGATTAAATCTATCTATCTATCTATCTATCTATCTATCTATCTATCTATCTATCTACAAACCATCATGTAAATGCAATGTCAATCGTTATCTTCTGTCTTCTTAATTCTTGTTCATTTATTGTCCTCTCTATTTAACAATAGTTTTTTCTCATATTCTCTAACACACAGAAACTCCTTGCGTCCTTGTGTTTTTTTTTTGTCCTACTTGGGGTGGAATGTTTAAATCTATCTATCTATCTATCTATCTATCTATCTATCTATCTATCTATCTATCTACAAACCGTCATGTAAATGCAATGTCAATCGTTATCTTCTGTTTTCTTAATTCTTGTTCGTTTATTCTTCTCTCCCCTTAATAATTTTTTTCTTTTTTTTTTAGTGGAGTCACTTTTTTTTTGTTTATATAACAGATGCAAATAGCATATTGCAGCGTTTTGCAATAACAGTACTATAAAAAAAAAACTACCTGCTATGATGTGTAATTTATTGTATCAATATTTTACAGGAGATGACGTTGATTTACTGTTTATTACGAGACGAGGCGAATTTTTAACTGATACAATATATTGTAACACCGGTGTGTGTTGTATGTTGCTATAGAACACATATAGAAAACTATAAAGAATTACTGTTTGGATCTTAATCTACAGGTAATTGGTCTACAATAATTAGCATACCAAATTTCTAGGAACCGGTTCTATAATGACAGGTATTTTTAGGGACCTATTCTTCTTATTTTATTTTCAATTTGAGAATGGAGGCTAATCACTTTATGGTATCAGAAAGAATTAAAGCATTTTGATAATTTAATAGAAAACATTTATTCATTAAGATGTTGATGTGGGGGGAGAAGGTTATTATGAAAATATGTATAAAGGTATTATTTGTGTTGGTGGCGTGAAAGTAAACTTTACCAGAAACATTTAACTTTGGTTATGGCCCAAGGTTTTCAACAACAGAATATAAAACAAACAATATTCCTCTTTAGAAAAAAAAAAACAAGAATAAAACATTTATATAACAAATATATACAACATGAGAATAAGAATGTTCTTTAGGGCAGATAGAGAGTTTGTTCAGTATTCCTGTCAGTAAAAGGATTTTTAACGAATTAACCAGTTCACTTTACATAATATTTTACATCGTAAATTTCTGTCGTTGCTTGGGATTACGGTAAGAATTGTCTCCCTTTACCTCTTGAGTATTGAATATATATATATATATATATATATATATATATATATATATATTGTTAAACAGATAAAAAAAATAGAAGTTTAAATATTACGTGAATAATGTTGATTCAACAAATGAGTCAAGTCTTTTGAAGAAAGTAAGTTGTGTTCTTCCTGGAAAGTTTATTGTAATCAAAATTGGAAAATGAAATGTTTGTCGCTGTCAAAAGTTGATTTTTTGTTTAAAAGTTAAACTTTTAAGCTTATAATTTTTGAGTGAATTGTGCATTAAATATTAAGAATCTTTTGGCTGTAAGATAATTGACTCGAAGTAAGTTTGCGTTAAGTTATGTTCAAAGTTGCATTTTGAATAAAATGTTTGTTTAGCAAACTGTATGTTCTTTGAGTAGAATTCTTCTTGTTTCGATAAAAATCGTAGATGTCAAAATTGAAGCGTACTTTTTTGGTGAGTGAGTGAATTTGAAGTTTGGTATTATGTTAGAAAATCTATCTTAGAAACTTCAAACATTTGAACGACGTGAATTTGGCGAATTTTTTGATGCCACAAAACTCAATGTTAGAAGTTGATAAGTTTCTGTTGCTTGTTTGTAGTTAAAGGAGTGAATAAGGTGAGTTAAGAGATCTGCAATGTTCGTACTTACGTGCGCGCGCGTGTGTGTGTGCGTGTTATAGTGTCTACCCATAAGGGACAGATGTGGGCTCTTCACTGAACTACATTTTTGTGCTTCTGAGAAAAAGAGAGGAAAGAAGAAGACTTGAAGATGTCACCACGTGTTTGTAATGTACGTCACGTGATAGGCTCGAAAAACATAGATTTTTTACGGTAAATTAATTTTAACCGTGCGGACGTAGCCGAAAGCATAATATTAGTATTAAATGACCAATCAGGACTCAAAGAAATATCAAGGCTCTGTGATCTACTTTGGTGTTTAGTTTGTACAAAAATTCACGTCGAAAGAAATTTGTATCAGAATGCTAAAATCTTTCGATACTGAAATTTTCTTTTGAACCTCTTTCTGTCTAGAAGTATGATGCTTTACAATTCTCGAATAATCAGCTGTGTTATGGTTTCTTATCCATATTCCAACTGAATCGCTGTCGTCTGAAAGATAAAATGGAAGAACTGTGAAATTCATGACTTCAAGATTTGCAAGATTTTTCACTTCATGACGATTTCTTTTATCAGAATAAATTATGTTAATCACAGAAAACCACGTTTCAGCCTCCACAGAACTTACCGCTGTGGTATTAATTATATTTTGAGCTATTATATAATGGCTATTAATATATAAGATTACTTCCGGATAATCCAATAAAATTTTATAATTTTAAGAATCGGTTCACGTGAATTGTTAAGATGCCACTACTAGTATGGTGACTTAATTTTGCTTTGTAGCCTACCGTCATTTTTGTTTGTGTTTCATATTATACCAGTGGTTACTGAGTAGGTATACTTGTGAATCCGAATGCATTTTTTGACTATTTATAGCTTATTATATTTCAACTTAGTAGTCCCTAGAATAATTCAAAACAACTGTTACTCAAGTAATCATTAGTATAATACAATAAACTACCTACAATGCGTTACAATAGATTACCCAGAATGCATAACCAACTTTAAATAGTCGAAGAAAAAAATTGCGTTTAAGCATGTAACAGGCTGTTGCCGCTGGTTGTTGAGTTCAATGTCCACTTTTATGTTTACATACAATCTTTCCCTGATATTTAGAACTTTAACCCATAAATATAGCATAACTTAAAACTATATATATATATATATATATATATATACCACACAGCACAAAAATTCGACAGGATAAGATACATCATATAGTTCAACTTGCCGTACAGCAAACACATAAAAAATGTAGGAAAAATATTCGTTAAACTCATACGAAAACACTTCCCCTATCAAACTCTCAGCACAACGTATTCATCAAAAACATAGTGATGAAAAGCTAGAGTTCCTCCGAGTACATGAGAAAAAAAATGAAAAACCACAAATCAAAACCAGATCAAACCCACGTGTAACTGTAGAACAAAGAAGGAATGGCCGTTAAACCTTAGTTGCTTGCAGAACAATGTCATATACCAAGCCACTGTAAAATCAGTAGATAACGAAGAAAAATATATATGGGAATAAGTGAAGGACCATGGAAACAAAGAAACTACGCACACAAGATATCCTTGACAAAATGTAAATACGTGAACAGCACAAGGCTTTCTAAACATACGGTATATTAAAAATAAAAATAAAACGAATCACACCAGAAACATCATAGAAAATAAGACAACAGCATTAGCCTACAACAATTAAAAAAAATGTAAATTGTGTCTGGATGAGAATCTAGCTTTGATTACCTTCCCAGAACAATACTAATTACTTTATAAACACTCATTCGTCAAAACATACAGACAAGAAAACAAATGTTCACTACTTTACTTAAAAATTGAAAATTAAAAACGAGTCAACATAAATAATAAAATAAATTAATCCAAATAAGTAAATAAATTAAATAAATAATGAATTAATTAACAAAGTACGAGAGCACACATAAACACAAGTAAAAGTAATAATAACAACTAACAAGAAATAATAAATTAATCAGTAATAAAGGGTGAGTAAAATAATGGTAACAAATAACATAGCCACAATACTGCATTCAGATCCACAATTATTTCCACTCAATATCCCCAAGTATAATTCGAAACATATCCGTCCCCGCCCACTAAAATAACCGTTAGAATAATAACTACTTACAATGCTTCACTTACCGGTATATAAACAATCGACCAAAAACACAACATGTGGCCAAACGATAGCGTTTGAGCATGAAACAGACTGCAGCCTCTGGATGTTACTTTCAATTGTTAATTCCTATATATTTATATATATATATATATATATATATAAATGAGAAAAAGAAAAATAGAGAATATTTTTTGATCTAACACGTTTCACTTTTATTAAAGCTCCTTCAAGTTCCATGTACATTCGACTTGTAACAAGATGTGGCATTCCGAATTCTTGGACGAAAAACGCGTTCATTCGAAGTTTCAAGACATTAACGGATTCCAAGTCTTGCTGAAAAACGAATAAATATTGATTTATCTATGCAAGTATATAATAATTAATCCAAAAACCAGTAAGTAAGTCTATTTACTTACTTATTGGTTTGGATTAATTATTATACACTTACAATAAACAATATTTATGGTTTTAATTAAGTAAATAATAAACAAATTCAAAAAACCACGAACGTACACATAAACACAAGTGAATAGTAATAATAACAACTAACAATAAAATACGGTTTAAAAAAGTTAGCAACACTACAAATAACCAAAAACTTCACCCGGATCCACAATTATTTCCACTCAATAGACCCGAGAATAATTCGAAAGATAACAGTGTCCGCCCACTAAAATAACCATTAGAATAATAAAATAGAACTATTCCTGTGTGTGTGTATGTGTGTGAGTGTGTGTGTGTGTGGTATGTAAAATATATAGAAAATAGGAAAGAACTCGTTAGGTAAATAATCCAAAGTTCTTTAGTATTTTTGTTTAAATAGTGCTCGATACAAGAGTAGATCATAAATATAATTATTTATTTAAAAATATGATTCCAACGCTACATAAGAGTTCTCATGTTTCAAAACAAGAGCCGAAAGCTTCAATATAATTATTTGAATTAAAATGAATTAAAGTACAAAGCTCTATTTCATCTTTAAGCGATTTTTTTTCTAATAACTTATTCCTGAAATTTACGCGTTTTATAAGCATATTCATTATTGAAATTAAAATTACTATGGTAACGGCTATACCAATTGTATAAAGAAAAGGGGCGTAAGGGTTAATAATTTGTATCACCTTTTCTTCTGCGATTTCAAAATGTTTTTTATTATAATATCTTATAATAAAAATATAATAATAATATATTATTATATAATAATATATTGCTCCACGTTGTATTGAGCACCTTTTTAAAAGTAAATGCTACAATGAACAGTGGATTTTTACTCCATCTTTTCTGTCTTTCATTTGGATATATATATATATATATATATATATATATATATATATATATATAATATATAAATAACTAGACTCGTTTCGAAAAACCCTCGAATTTTTGATTTGTTAATCAAATCAATTTCGAGGGAAAAAGGTTTTAAAAAAAAGAGCTACAAACATAAACTTCTGCCGACAAAAATCGCACAGATGCAGGTCTGAAGCCCAAAGAAAAAAACAACTAACTAACAAAAGAGCTCAATACAATCGTAGAGCAGACCTAGATACACCTAGTGAGCCAGACAAACCTACCTAGGTTTCACCTAAACGGATCGTCAGGAAAGGTTTGTCTGGCTCACTATATATATATATATATATATATATATATATATATATATATATATATATATATATATATATTTTTAATCCAATATTGTTATTAGTTTAAACGTTATTATTATGGATGTTCCTATTTGAATTAGACGCGCCATTTTTATTACGTTTTTAATTAAACAGTGTGTATTATGCATATCGACCTACGTATTGGAGAAATCTAAAAAAAAACCAAAAAAACAATCATCTTTCCTGAAGAGATCGAACCTTCGCTCTCTTTGTAAGAGACATACTAAACCAAGCCTGGTTAAATTTTGTGCTCTTCGTAACGGATGAGTAGAGCTTTTCGGATCAAACGGCACTTTTTCTCCTGACAAAGGGTGACGCACATTTCATACATGCCGGGGAGCAGATACTATTTATTAAGATTTCTCGAAGACTTACAAGAATAGTACAGACAGTAGAAGTAGATTACTACAATAATCTTTGGAAAGATTCTCCGGACACTATAAAATGGTTCCAGAATATTAAAAATAAAATCTAATTTGATATTATGGATTTCTACCCCTCCATTTATCTACTATTAAAAAGTTTAAATTTCGCTAAAAAACAATATATATATATATATATATATATATATATATATATATATATATATATATATATGAAAGGATCAAACATTAATATTCCATGGTTATAATTTCTTATGTTGGAATCGTAATCATGATCCAATTCATCAGACATACAAATCCATAAATTTATATATTCTTAATCTGTCCTGGACATTGAGTTCTACCTAGATTCTAGACACTTGGATATATATATATATATATATATATATATATATATATATATATATATATGTGTGTGTGTGTGTGTGTGTGTGTGTGTGTGTGTGTGTGTGTGATACAGCTAAATAGTATATATATATATATATATATATATATATATATATATATATTGACCACTATATTAATATTATCATATATATAGATAAAGATATATATATATATGCACCTTTACACACACACACACACACATATATATATATATATATATTTTTATATATATATATATATATATATATATATATATATATATATATATATATATATATAAGTGTGCTTTTACTAACTTTGGTGACGGGTTCCTCACAAGGACAAAAGTCCATATGAACATATGTCAGCAAATACTTCTTTTTTCAGTTAAGTTCAACGAAAGCTTACATTAGATGGCGCTGTGTTGGCATGTAGATTAGGTTACATTTATCATTCGAGTACATTTGTGGCTAGTCTTCAACGTTTAACATGTGTAGTAGTGAGTTAACTGTGAAGTTTTCAGTTTAACAATGGAAGATATTCATATTGTAGGAAGGCAGATATGATTTTTACAAACAGCCAAGCGAATGGTAATGGACGCGAGGCTACACGGCTGTATCAGATTGCGTTTCCAGGCCGTAGGCATCCGAATCATCCAACCATTGCTACTATTTATCATCTTGTTGCTGAGACAGATTCCGTGACACCACAAACTATGGTTCGAGGAAGACCGACATCCGCTCGTACTCCTGACCACGAAGAACACATTCTACAGGCTTTGGGAGATTATCCCGGTATCAGAACACGTCAAGTGGCTCTAGCATTTAAGTCTCATAGTACCACATGTAGGGTACTTCAAGAACATCTTCTGTATCCGTAATCATTTGCAATGTGTGCAGTGTCTTTCGCCCTTTGATCACAACCCACGGAAAAAAAGAACTTTTAGCACAAACTGCCGATCAGTCGTTTGTCTGTTCAGTCTTATTTACGAATAACGCTTCATTTGGAAGAGATCAAAAAACAAATTTACAAAACCAACATTTGTGAGCGGAATCCCCTTGGTAAAATTTAGGCTAGACACTATCGTCAGTTTACGATAAATTTGCCGGCTGGATTTGTAGTTGACACCTTACAGAAGCTGTCTTATAGGGGCATTATTTCGAACACACAACCAGAACTGCTAGAGGATGAGCCCCTGCTAATACGAAAACGCATAGTAGGGCTCCAGCACATTTTAGTTTTATAGTTCGCGATGCACTACCACGATCCACTACCATGAAAGATCGGAGAGGTCGGTTCGATGGCCTGCTCGTTTCCCAGACCCCAACCCTTTGATTTTTATCTATTGGGCCACCTATTTGTTATGGGAGCATACGAAACCATTCAACATCGTGCGGGAGTATTTGAAAGTGCCCGCCAGTCAATGATCCGACGGGGGTATGGGTGTGTAGAAGGAATAGGAGGAGATTTTGAACATTTGTTTATTTGTTATGAGTTGCTGTGTTGAGGTAAAACGATGGCCCAGTCAGATATGTCTTTATAAGGACATTTTATCTTGCTTAACTATCAGGAACCCACCCCTAAAGTCTGTAAAACATATTTTTATACACGATATATATATATAATACATTTTTTTATACACGATATATATATATATATATATATATAAGACATTTTTTATGTTTATACATTCTTTTTATAGATACAAATATTTAAGTAAATGCTCTGTTTATAATAAACAGTATTAAACAACATTTGTCTATATTCCTGAGATGACGTATTATGTACACTATTTATATTATTCGGAATAATGTCCTTATCGTTGTTGCCATATTCATCACAACGTTTCGGCCGTTGTACGCTCCGGCCTTATTTAAGTGGTTGGAATGTCGAACTGAACTGAACTAACATCCATTAGACATTATCACGTGGAACTAGAACAGTCTACCCCCGTGAACGAAATAAAGGGTTCAGTTCGAACTGCCAACCACCTGAAAAAGGCCGGAGCGTACAACGGCCGAAACGTTGGGATAAATATGGCAGGAAAGATGAGGACAATAGTCGAATAATGTATATATATATATATATATATATATATATATATATATATATATATATGTGTGTGTGTGTGTGTGTGTGTGTGTGTGTGTGTAGTAATATATGCTTCGGTGTATATATCAATAGGTTTGTGCTAAAAATTTATATATATATATATATATATATATATATATATATATATATATATATATATACATATATCTGTCTTGATATATACACGCACAAACTCATTCAGTCACTCACAGACACACACACATACACAAAACACACACACATATAAAATATACATATATATATATTTAAAATAAATACTGTATAGATATATCCGTGTGTGTTGCAGTGAATATATGCTTATGTGCTTCATTGTCTTAACTGTATGTGTGTGCGTTTGTAATTCAATATGTGTTTATATTATAGTGTGTTCTCATGCATCAGTTAACGCGTTTATGCATGCATACATACATATGTGTGTGTGAGTGTGCATGTTTGTGATTCATTGTATTGTCTATGTTGCAGTTTCACTCACACACACATAGATATTTCTTTTAATAGATAATACTTTTTTGGGTATTCAAACCAGTGTTAGATTAATTCATTAGCAGCCCACTCCCAACTGCTAATGAACTAATCCAAAAACTACTAGATATATATATATATATATATATATATATATATATATATATATATATATATATATATATGATTCAATGTACCTATATATGTTTTGAAGTAACGTTACATCTGTTTTATTGTCCTTATATATATATATATATATATATATATATATATATATATATATATATATATAAAAAAAAGAAAAGAAAAGCTTATCTTAGCCTACGCTTTCGTCCTCTGAGCCACATTATCAATGCAATTGTTTATCAAGGCGCATTTGGCATGATAAAGTCTCTCAGAGGACAAAACGCGTCGTCTATGATAAGTTTTCCCTTTCACTTTATTCATATAGTCCGTTACCAGATATACTCTATCTGAAAATTTTCATACATACATACATATATATATATATATATATATATATATATATATATATATACGTAAGATTCAATGTGTGTATTTATTTTACTTTACTTAACTAGATTTGATAGTTTGCATATATATATATATATATATATATATATATATATATATATATATATAAAAAGAAAGTGTGAGCCTCAAAAAGCTGAATGGTGGGGAGGTATCGTGGAAATTTCATTGAAAGAAAAATGTGTACACAGTGTGGGTGACAAGTGTTTGGTTTGAGGTGCATGAGATTCAATTCAAGAAGAAACGGCTGCTTTGCTATCGGGGTTCGGGGAAAGAGACGACACTTTAGGCAAAAGACGCGAAATGGGAGCTGCAGGAATGAGGTTGTGGGAGGACCAAGGATTGGTTGGGAAGAAAGGACAGATCGAGCCCGGGGGTGGGGGTGTCGGTTTAGAAAAAAATGGAACAGTAACGAAAGGTTGGTAAGACATAGTATGATGCAAGATGTGAGGCGGTGAAACATTTCTACAAATCAATGAAAGAATGAATGAGAAGAGGAAACGTGGGGGAACGAAAGGAAAGTAGGGTGGGGGGATCGAGATTGAAATAGGTGAGGGGGGGGGCATGGAGAGGCGGTTGAGAATGGAGGTTGAAGGGAGGAGGAGAGGTTGCGATGAAAATGGCTTCATGCTTGATGCGAAGACGGTAGGAATGAAGAAACGAAAAAAAAAAAAAAAACGAAGAGGAAAAGCGGAAAGAAGAAGGCAGGGTTAAAAGTAAAAACCTCGAAGAGTGAAATCAGGAAATAGAACGAAGAAGACTGGAAGGAAACGGTTGTATACTATTTGTCAGAATCGGAATCTTACGAATGAAAGAGATAAAAAAAAGTAAGTGAATGAATAAATAAAGAAAGGAAAGACAGAAGTAAAAAAGGACTGAGAGATACGCACAAGAAACTGAAAATAAATGAATGTTTGGCTGGTTGATTTGTTTAACTGCATATCAACATCCTTATGGGTCATTTAATGACGAAATTTAATTTTCTTGGGAGTTTTGAAGTAACAATAATATGATATATCTTATTCTGCTTTCACAGTTGAGTACCTGGTATATGATACTCAACTTTTCCATCTATTAAAGTCGTTGTTTTTACTCACTCCTGCCATTGTATGTGTGAAAATGAGATCAACTTAATCAGACAGAATCCCACACGCATATCCACACTGACAAAAATGCTGCATTATGCTTCAAAAATCTTTCCTCTTGTAATTTGTTCCATCATAACGTTAATAAACTTTACGAAACAACAGCTTTCTGTTCTGCCGTTTTTTGCTCTGAGCATTACTTGCTATTATATAAACCTCATTTTATTTTTTTTACAGAAATTGTCCAGTTACCTTAATGTTCCATTTAGAGGTTGATTGATTGATTTCTATGTTTAACGAGCGAATCAACTACTTATGTGTCATTTAATGCCTGAAATTTAATTTTCTTTGGAGTTTTGAAGTATTAAAAGTATGATATGTTATTCTGCTTTCACAATTGAATACATGGTAGATGATACTCAGCTTTTCCATCCACTATATCGCTGAAGAGTCAACAGGCTAGAGCTGAAACAGCTGCGAGAAAAACCATTCAGTTATTGCAAAATACAACACGGCTGAAATAAAGGAATTCGAGGAAGGTAATGAAAATGGCGGATAGAGAGCCACATGAAAGAGAAATAGAAGCCGAAAATGCAAAAAGAAAAAAAAATAGATTAATTGATTTGTTTGTTTTGTTAGTCATTTAATTACGGAATTTAATTTCCGTGGGTGCTTTGAAGTAACAATAATATGATATATGTTATTCTGCATTCCCAATTGAATACATGGTAGATGATACTCAGCTTTTGTGCATAGACTGTGAAGAAATTTATTTTCTGTCTGAATATCTGGGGTGTGAACTTTTATTTATACTACCGTAATTCCCCATATATAATATGCCTTCATCCATAATACGCACCCCTAAAATTGTGCTGAAAGTGTAAGAAAATGCTTCTACTCACGCATAATACGCATCCCTTGTTTGGTATTCAAATCCTATAAATTTTATCTCGCCAATTTCTTTATAGATAGCGTTTCCTACTCTTATTCAAGGTGTAATTGAAGATATTTATCAAAATTTCCAATCATCATGATTCGAAAAGGAAGCGGAAATACCTATATTGTGCCGACTGCGCAGACTCATTAAACTGTTTTTGTTCGATAAAATGGGCAATCTACCGGATCTCTATGTAGTTTTTGACAAAAATGGTTTTAAACAGAATAATACTATTCTAATTTGGTTTTATGATAATTTTTATTTTATTTTCCATTTGTAAGTATTGTTACGCACCTATGATTATATTTGACATGCTTACGGGGTCGCAATCGCCGAATTTTACTGTCAAATTGTATGTTTGTGGTGAGTAGTCATTTCGCAAATGAAATCGACCTATGAGACGCCAAATTTTTAATGATTTTTTTATAACTGTGCATAATACGCACCCCCTAATTTTGCTTATGAGTTTTTAGAAAAATGCGTATTATATATGGGCAGTTAAGGTGTTTCCACGCGAAATATCATATTCATGTTTATTGCTGATTCTATTTTATTTTACACTGTTTAAATCATGCTGACTCTGTGTCATATGCATATCTTATGTTTCCAATTCTGTCAGGATTGCTTCGCTGTATAGGTTGAACAGGTCTGGTGAGGAGACGCATCATTGCCTTACGCCTCTTTCTATTTTTGTGTATTCACTGAACTTGTGAATGCAAGCTGTTTGCTGCCATATTAGTTTCTTGATTATTCTGATATCTTTCCCGAATATATCGAGTTTGCTGAGTAGTTCCTGCAGATACTTGTGGGGTACTTTGTCGAAGGCCTTTGCGTAGTCTATGAAACATAGGTACACGTCCTTCTGCATCCGTATCGCTCTTTCTGATAACATCCTGAGCATGAATATCGCGTTCCTCGTTCCAGTTTCTTTAACGAACCCGCCCTGTTCTTGTCCTATCTCTTGGCTGATTCTGTTGCGCGTTCTGTTCATTAGAATACGGATGATGAGTTTTGTCACGTGGCTCCTTAGGATTATTGTTCGGCTCCTTAGGATTATTGTTTCATTCGTTTCAGCCTATTATCTTAGGCATAGCTACGAAGCTAGATCTGCTGAAGTCTTCTGGTATATCTCCTCTGTTGGAGATTTCATTTTTTTTATTTCGGTGATCTTGTCTATGCCAAAGCATAGACAAAATCATAAGCTATGGCTTTCAGCATTTCCGTTACAATTCCGTCTGGCCCATCTGCCTTGTTTCTGTTTAATTTGGTTAGTGCTGCTTTTACTTCGGTTTTCAAAATTCCAGGTTCATCTGTAGTCCTGTGTATTACTGGTTGTTCCCTTACGTCGTGGAAGAGTTCTCCAGTGTACTCGTTCAGAGTTGAAGCGTTTTTCCTTCTCTAATAAGAGCCTTCCATCCTTTGATTTTAGGCAGCCTGTTGGCGAGTATATCTTCTGTCCTATTAGTTGTCTTTTTTGCTTCTGCATATCTGTTTTGTTGGTTGTCCCCAATCTTTCTATTTCAGCCCATTTTTTCATTTAGCCATTCTTCTTTAGCTTGACTGCATTTGGTCCTTATTTAATTGTACAATTTTCTGTACTTCGTTCCGTATCTTGGCCGAGTTTTCTGTCTTCTTTCCATGATATCGAGAATCTCATTAGTCATCCATTTGTTTCTCCTTCTTCGTCTTGTCTCCTTTGGGGGATGATATCGTTTGCTGATGTCACTAAAGCATCTTCTAGTGCGTCCCATTTCGAGTTTTCATTGTGTGCCTCGTATCTTCTCTTTATATTGTCTGTGTATTTTTCTTTTAGCTTAGGATTGCTCAGGTGTTTGTTGTATTGCAGTAAATAGTATGAATAGTTAGAATATCTCATCTCAGAAATATAGACAGATCCTGAAGGAAGCAGAAACGTACAACGGCCGAAACGTTGTGAATATGGCAATAAACATAAGGACAACAGCCCGAACTATGTAAATACTGGAAACACTTACAATACCTCACCTCAGAAATATAGTCACTTAATTTGATCTGTTTGCTTAACGGACTATCAATGTGTCATTTAATGTCGAAATTTAAATTTCTTGAGAGCTTTGAATGAATTAAAATATGATATATTATTCTGATTTCACAGTTTAATACATGGTAGATGATACTCAGCTTTTGTACATATACATGTTTTTTTTTTTGTAGACATAATTAATACAAGCGATGATGTACGTGTTTAATGTTGTAATTTTATTGAAGTTATATTTTGGAAAGCAGTTTGATTAATTTACGAAATTATAGGATATTATATGGATTAATATCACGAAACAGTTCTTTCATTTTGGTTGGTTGGTTGGTCTTGTACAGCGGTATATTATTCTCTATGGGTAACTTCATTCCGAAATCTATGTACTGGGAACACATACTTATGTCTTCAACGACAAATAAAATAGTCATTTTGATTTTAAAATGTATTGTTAGTCCTATTCTATAAATATGTATAGTTCGTCATTCATATATATATATATATATATATATATATATATATATATATATATATATATTTTGATGATAGATGTGAGTTTGTGACCCTGGGTTTCACGCTTTAAGCGATCGTCAGACAAACGATATTGAGCGCTTTCTAACAAGTACCGCGCATATAATATATAAATAATTATATATATATATATATTTGTTTATATTTATATACACACACACACACACACACACACACACACACACACACACATATATATATATATATATATATATATATATATATATATATATATATATATACATATTTATGTTTAACATTCTTTTATAGATACAAGTATTTAAGTAAATGCTCTGTTTATAATAAACAGTATTAAATAACATTTACCGGCCTGAATGTCCGAGATAAATTGTCTGACTTTGTCCAATTCTTAATATATATATATATATATATATATATATATATATATATATATATTGTATTGTTGGTATTTTTTATTATAAAATGTATTTTTATACTAAAATAATGTTTCATTTGGGGGGTTAACTATTTACCCATGACCGAGACCCTAAGAGGTGCTACCACCCCGGGAGAATGAATGGGAGAGACGAACGTTGGCAAAAAACGAAAGGACAGGACACATTAGATTAATTGATTTTTTTTTTATTACGGATTACCAACCTTTCGCAGGTTATTTAAAGCCACAAATGCATTTATAGATTGTTAGAAATTTTTGAGAGGCTTTTACTGATACAAGTTCTACTAATTAATCCATAGCTGGGAAGCAAGGGAAACGGTGTATTCATGCCTTTCCCAACAGCATTTGCATGAACCCGACGGGAATGGGAACACGGCTCTCCGATTTCTAATTCAGAGCCTTTATCTATTACATCACCCACACATCTAACCTTATATCACACGGTTTTCCGAAGCAGTCCATCATCTAGGCTCGACGTTGCTTAACTACGGTGATCACATTAGAATCGATGTGTCAGACTGATATGTCACTAGAAGCAGTAATGATTTCTATTAAGAATATAGGAAGAAGCAAAGGATTGAGAACGTACACTAAGGATTTTTTTTACGGTTTAGCAACCTTTTGGGTGTGTTTTTTTTTAAGCCGAAACATAATTATAATGGTTTTTTTCGCGAGCGAAAATTGCATTAGAAATTTTCTTGAGAATAATAATGAATTTTCCAAATACAACTCCGACCATTTAACCCGTAGCCGTGATGGGACGGAAAAGATTGATTCATAACTTTTCCAAGGTTATTTGCGTTTAAGTGAATGTGAAGAACCCGACTGGAATTCGAACTCATATACAAGAGAAACTGAAATGAGGATAAAAATGAAAGGAAGGCTGATAGAACCTAGCCAAATACTAAAAAGGGAAATAAGAAATAGTGGAAAGAAGGATGGAAGGAATGCACGCAGGCAGGGAGGAAGGAAGGGAGGAAGGTCAGGAAGGGTGGAAGGAAGGAAGTATGGAAGGGAAAAAGGAAGGGAGGGAGGGAAGAAGAAAGGAAGGTATGAAGGGATGGAGGAAGGAAAGGATGGAGGGAAGGTGAAGGAAAGGAGAAAAAAGGAAGGAAGGAAGGAAGGAAGGAAGGAAGGAATGAAGGAAAGGATGGAGGGAGAAAGGAGGGAAAGGAGAAAGGAAGGAAGGAAGGAAGGAAGGAAGGAAGGAAGGAAGGAAGGGAGAAAGGAAGTAAGGAAGAAAGGAAGGCATGAAGGAAGGAAAAGAGGGAGGAAGGCAGATAGGAAGGAAGGGAGGAAGGAAGGAAGGTCAGGAAGGGTGGAATGAAAGAAGTAAGGAGGGGAAGAATGAAGGAAGGGAGGGAATGAAGAAGAAAGGAAGGAATGAAGGCATGGAGGAAGGTAGGAAGGAAGGAAATGATGGAGGGCGGAAGGAAGGAAGGGAGAAAGGAAGGAAAGGATGGAGGAAGGCAGGGAGGAAAGAAGGAAGGCATGAAGGGATAGAGTAAAAGAGGAAGGTAGGAAGGAAGGAAGGAAAGGATGGCGGAAGGAAGGAAGGAAGGAAGGAAGGAAGGAAGGAAGGAAGGAGGGAAGAAGGGGGGGAAGGTAGATCAT